AACCATCATGGTGCAGTGACTAGATTACCAGAGAAGAGACCATCCTCACAACAACTGCCTGACTGCTCAAGGAAGCTAGAAATTTGAGAAGAAACTGGGGAGATAACAAGAGGGAAGTTAGAAAGAAAAGACTTGTGCCGTAGGCCTGACAAATGCTTTGGAGATGTCGAGGCCATGACGAAAGTTTCTCCTTAATCCCTAGGAAGGATGACCAAATATGGGTGCAGTTGGAGAGCAGATCAACAGTAGATCTCGCCTGGCAAAAGCCATACTGGTGATCCGACACAAAAGAATGGCGTTCAAGGTGACGGAGAAAATGAGAGTTGAAGATACAGTGAGTTCTGCTATACGCGATGTTTTGATAACAGCAATTTACTCTAGCGATTTATGAATTAGGAACTATATTTGTATACGCGAACGCTTATTTGCTATAATGTGATTTTGCTACTATTTCTCCAATTTTGTGGTATTAATTGTGAATATGGTAAGAAGAATATCTCCAAGAAGCGTCTGGTGATAGAATTCCGGTGATGATCGTAAAAGAAAGGATATAACACTTGAAGAAGCTCGATGTTATCAACCTCAAAATCACCCCTCTCCCCATCAAGTTACATTCATATTTTTCAAGGTAAAGTGTTACATTTACTGTATGATTTCATTATTAGTATGAATGTAACATTTATTGAACTGTGCTATCCTTTGTGTTAGGCAAACTACTAAATTTTTTCGATTTGGTAATCTGCACCTAACCCTATTTTCTCAGCCCTGTTATTTCTATTCTGCGATTTTCTATAACCATATTTTACAAGAACACAATTATGTTATAGCAGAACTACCTGTAGTTTCCAAAATCTTAGAACGGCATGAAGTTAGGGCAATAAAGGCGATAGTTAGAGGGATTGGAATGGTCACCCTTCTTCGATGGGCTGACAAGGAATGCTTCAAGAAGGGAAAAATTTGGGTTTTGAGGCAAAGGCAAAAGAGACGAGCAAGCACAGGTGCAGAGCTTCAGCACACTCCCTCAGAACATTAGGGGTATTCCGTCCGGTCATGCGTCTTACTCACGTCCAACCTGGATAACACACCAGCAACCCTACGAGGTGGAGATTATAGGAAAGTGCATAGGTTCAGTAGGAGGAATAAGTTGAAATCGTCTAAGGTGGAGTTAGAGGAGAATAAGATGCCAAAGAGATTGGCTTTATCAGGTCAGAAGAGAGGAAGAAAAGGGGAGTGCAGAAGTTATTACGGATATTTTTGGTTAAGGACCAGAAGGATTTACTAAAGGAAGAGTTAGTCAGGTCAGCGGTCTTTTTTATTATAACGTAAAATTCTGCTTGGCCCTATGAAGAATAACCTTAACGATTCCCATAAGTAATGAAAGAGGAGTGCTACACACAGAAAATGGCCAGGTGTATGGATGGTATGGAGAGGAACTGTTGATGGCAATGGCAGCTGCATTAGTAGCTAGGGTAGGTGTCGGAGATTGACAGTCGATTTGTGAAGGTCTCTGAAACAGCCCAGAGTCCAGGACCTATGATGAGATCACAACCAGAATTTGGCGAGCAGTGGGGAGGTGCAGCTGTGGTGCTAACTGGGTAGTGTCTGGTGTGTCACAAGGCAGCAGTGACCTCACCTCCGTCCTACCCCCAAGTGGGGGCCTTGAACAACAAGCGGGCGGGAACAACCATCCTGCTGTTACAGCCCTGATAGTAGTTATATCACCAAACTTCATCGACATGTTCCTTTAATGACACAGTTGTCCGGTTGCTTATTGTTTTTGAATTTAGGCCAATGTGTAGAGTTGGTGGTCATACAAGAGAACAGGAAGCGATAACCATGATTGTAAAGTGAAAGTTGTTGTAGGAGATGGGATAAACACCTCATACCACCCTGTATAACCCCAGCAATGCTGTCAGCACATACAGCGCCCTGAGTAAGCATTCATCCCAAGGAAAGGAGAAGAATTCATGAAGGATGCTTGGTTTGCTCTCGATAGTGCCATAGTTGGCATTTTTGGTGGGGAGGTGTGACACCATCTAGAAAAATGAAACTCCATGGTTTTCTGAGGATAACAAACAACTGTTCGAGATTGACATCTCTTTACTATGAAAATAACACAAAGTCTGACACCACTCACACAAATATCAAATGACAATTACGGAGTCAAACAATTATGAGACTCAAACAATTAATGAGTCAAACAATGAAGGAATCAAACAATTAATGGAATAAACAATTGGGAATCAAATAATTAATGGAGTCAACAATTAGTAGAATCAAACAATTACGGAGTCAAACAATTATGGAGTCAAACAATTAAGAAGTCAAACAATTAATGGAGTAAAACAATTAAGGAATCAAACAATTAATGGAATCAAACAATTGAGGGAATAAAACGATGAACAGATATTTCCTACGGCGGCGGCCCTGGGGAAGGTTCTGGAAAGCAGTGATCCGCTCTCGGGGGGAAGGTCAAGTCAGCTTCCTCACTCGGCGCTGGCGGGCGATGTCTTGCTACACAGGAGAAAATGGCCAGGTGTATGGATGGTATGGAGGAACTGGTGATGACGTGGCAGCCGCAGTAGTAGCTAGGGTAGGTGTCTGGAGATTGACAGTCGATTTGTGAAGGTCTGGGGAAACAGCCCAAGAGTCCAGGACCTATGATGAGATCACAACCAGAATTTGAACGAGCAGCGGGGAGGTGCAGCTGTGGTGCTAACTGGGTAGTGTCTGGTGTGTCACAAGGCAGCAGTGACCTCACCTCCGTCTACCCCCAAGTGGGGGCCTTGAACAAGCAAGCGGGCAACAACCATCCTGCTCGTTACAGCCCTGATAGTAGTTATATCACCAAACTTCATCGACATGTTCCTTTAATGACACACTTGTCCTGCTGAAAAATAGTTGTCCAAGTTGCTTTTTGTTTTTGAATTTAGGCCACAATGTGTAGAGTTGGTGGTCACATTTAATTAATGACACAGTCAGTCACCTTTAATGAGAGTAAGTTACTGGGATATCTTAACCTGTGTGGTCATAGCTCATCTGGTCAACAGATACTATGGATATGACATCAGTCACCTCCCTGAAAACTTGGCTGCTGTTGTCTGCTTTTAGGTGTTGACTACATTATATTGTCTCTGAAAACAAGGACACTTTGAGGGGAACATGGTTCATATGTTTCTGCAGTTATGCACTTGACTAGTATCTATAAGCTCCATATTTCCTGTAGATGATCAGCTAATAGTGTGATTACCTCTCTGAATACAGCTATATATTTATTTTGGAAGTAATGGTTTACTTAGTACAGTGACTACATGTATTAACCCCATGTATATTGATAAATCATCTGCACACTGTGAGTAAAGAGGAACAGTGGTATATCTAGCTGTTGTTAGGAGCATGTCTCATTCTCAGCTCAGGGACACAGTTGCTAGCTGTTGTTAGGAGCATGTCTCATTCTCAGCTCAGGGACACAGTTGCTAGCTGTTGTTAGGAGCATGTCTCTCTCAGCTCAGGGACACAGTTGCTAGCTGTTGTTAGGAGCATGTCTCTCAGCTCAGGGACACAGTTGCTAGCTGTTGTTGGGCATGTCTCTCAGCTCAGGGACACAGTTGCTAGCTGTTGTTAGGAGCATGTCTCTCTCAGCTCAGGGACACAGTTGCTAGCTGTTGTTAGGAGCATGTCTCTCAGCTCAGGGACACAGTTGCTAGCTGTTGTTAGGAGCATGTCTCTCAGCTCAGGGACACAGTTGCTAGCTGTTGTTAGGAGCATGTCTCTCTCAGCTCAGGGACACATTAGCTGTTGTTAGGAGTGTTAGGAGCGTGTCTCCCCTTCTCAGCTAAGGGACACACTAGCTGTTGTTAGGAGCATGTCTCTCAGCTCAGAGACACACTAGCTGTTTGTAAGGAGCATGTCTCATTCTCAGCTCAGGTTTCAAGGTCACAGCAACCTTATCATAACACTGTACTGGTATTGTATATAATCATCAATATATTTTTAAACTTATATGGAACATTGTGTGAGGTGGTCATTGTATTTCCACAGGATATCAAAACTGTTGAAAATAAAAAGACAGAAAGTGATAAATTGCAAGGAGCTTTTGACACTATGAGAGCGCAGGACCAGGCAGATAACGACGCCCTGGCTGCAGCAGAGAAGAGGCTGCAGGCCATTAGCTCCGGCATGTACTCAGCGGGTGACGGTGAGGACGCCACCTTGCAAGAGCAGCTCATGAGTGAGTACCCTCATCATACACACTGTTGAAGATCAAGTAAACTAATGTTCCTTTATTAAAAAAAGACAAAGTCAAATGTTAACCTTTCCTGGTGACATCAAAGGAAAGGTTGAAGGTTAGTGAGACACACCATATAACACAGTGAGGGAGGTTAGTGTGACACACCATATAACACAGTGAGGAAGGTTAGTGAGACACACCATATAACACAGTGAGGAAGGTTAGTGAGACACACCATATAACACAGTGAGGAAGGTTTGTGAGACACCATATAACACAGTGAGGAAGGTTAGTGAGACACACCATATAACACAGTGAGGAAGGTTAGTGAGACACACCATATAACACAGTGAGGGAGGTTAGTGAGACACACCATATAACACAGTGAGGGAGGTTAGTGAGACACACCATGTAACACAGTGAGGGAGGTTAGTGAGAGACACACCATATAACACAGTGAGGGAGGTTAGTGAGACACACCATATAACACAGTGAGGGAGAGTTAGTGTGACACACCTATATAACACAGTGAGGAAGGTTAGTGAACACCATATAACACAGTGAGAAGGTTAGTGAGACACACCATATAACACAGTGAGGAAGGTTTGTGAGACACCATATAACACAGTGAGAAGGTTAGTGAGACACACCATATAACACAGTGAGGAAGGTTAGTGAGACACACCATATAACACAGTGAGGAAGGTTAGTGAGACACACCATATAACACAGTGAGGGAGGTTAGTGAAACACACCATATAACACAGTGAGGCAGGTTAGTGAGACACACCATATAACACAGTGAGGAAGGTTAGTGAGACACACCATATAACACAGTGAGGGAGGTTAGTGTGACACACCATGTAACATAGTGAGGGAGGTTAGTGTGACACACCATGTAACATAGTGAGGGAGGTTAGTGAGACACACCATATAACACAGTGAGAGGTTAGTGAGACACACCTTATAACACACAGTGAGGGAGGTTAGTGTGACACACCATGTAACATAGTGAGGGAGGTTAGTGAGACACACCATATAACACAGTGAGGGAGGTTAGTGAGACACACCTTATAACACAGTGAGGGAGGTTAGTGTGACACCATGTAACATAGTGAGGGAGGTTAGTGAGACACACCATATAAACACAGTGAGGGAGGTTAGTGAAGCACACCCATATAACACAGTGAGGGAGTTTAGTGAGACACACCTTATAACACAGTGAGGAGGTTAGTGAGACACACCATATAACATGGTGAGGGAGGTTAGTGAGACACACCTTATAACACAGTGAGGAGGTTAGTGAGACACCATATAACACAGTGAGGGGAGGTTAGTGAGACACACACCATATAACACAGTGAGGAAGGTTAGTGAGACACACCATATAACACAGTGAGGGAGGTTAGTGAGACACCATATAAACACAGTGAGGAAGGTTAGTGAAACACACCATATAACACAGTGAGGAGGTTAGTGAGACACACCATATAACACAGTGAGGGAGGTTAGTGAGACACACCATGTAACACAGTGAGGGAGGTTAGTGAGAGACACACCATATAACACAGTGAGGAAGGTTAGTGAGACACACCATATAACACAGTGAGGAAGGTTAGTGAGACACACCATATAACACAGTGAGGAGGTTAGTGAGACACACCATATAAACACAGTGAGAAGGTTAGAACACACCATAAAACACAGTGAGGAGGTATGACACACCATGTAACACAGTGAGGAGGTTAGTGAAAACACCATATAACATAGTGAGGGAGGTTAGTGTGACACACCATATAACACAGTGAGGGAGGTTAGTGAAACACAAACACAAAAACACAAAAACAAAAAAACACCATATAACATAGTGAGGGAGGTTAGTGTGACACACCATATAACACAGTGAGGGAGGTTAGTGGAAACACACCATATAACACAGTGAGGGAGGTTAGTGAGACACACACCATATAACACAGTGAGGGAGGTTAGTGTGACGCACCATATAACACAGTGAGGGAGGTTAGTGGAACACATCATATAACACAGTGAGGGAGGTTAGTGAGACACACTATATAACACAGTGAGGGAGGTTAGTGTGACACACCGTGAGAACATACAGTAGGGGAGGTGTTAGTGAACACACCATATAACACAGTGAGGGAGGTTAGTGAAACACACCATATAACACAGTGAGGGAGGTTAGTGAGACACACCATATAACACAGTGAGGGAGGTTAGTGTGACACACCATATAACACAGTGAGGGAGGTTAGTGAAACACACCATATAACACAGTGAGGGAGGTTAGTGAGACACACCATATAACACAGTGAGGGAGGTTAGTAAGACACACCATATAACACAGTGAGGGAGGTTAGTGAGACACACCATATAACACACAGTGATATAAGTAGTGAGACACACCATATAACACAGTGGAGGGAGGCAGGAGACACACACCATATAACACAGTGAGGGAGGTTAGTGAGACACACCATATAACACAGTGAGGGAGGTTAGTGTGACACACCATATAACACAGTGAGGAGGTTAGTGAGACACACCATATAACACAGTGAAGGAGGTTAGTGAGACACACCATATAACACAGTGAGGGAGGTTAGTGAAACACACCATATAACACAGTGAGGGAGGTTAGTGAAACACACATATAACATAGTGAGGGAGGTTAGTGAGACACACCATATAACACAGTGAGGGAGGTTAGTGAAACACACCATATAACACAGTGAGGGAGGTTAGTGTGACACACCATATAACACAGTGAGGGAGGTTAGTGAAACACACCATATAACACAGTGAGGGAGGTTAGTGAAACACACCATATAACATAGTGAGGGAGGTTAGTGAGACACACCATATAACACAGTGAGGGAGGTTAGTGAAACACACCATATAACATAGTGAGGGAGGTTAGTGAAACACACCATATAACATAGTGAGGGAGGTTAGTGAGAGACACCATGTAAGTTTCAGTATTAAATAATTAGTGGTAAGACCTTGTGAGTGGCTTACGATGTTTCCATCACCACTCTTGACACACTAAACCACAATATTTAAGAGGTAAGAATTTTATACTTGGTGGTTTAGATGACCCCCTAACTTTGGGCAGATTTTTTTAATGTTCAAATTCCGTCTTATAAGCCGAGATATACGGTACACATTTTGTAAGAATAATAGTATATAATACAGTAATTACATATAATACTGTACAAGTAATTATATATTTTTTTTCTATGTTGGTTAATTTACCACAATGCACTATAGTGTATGTGTGTCTGTTCATCCTTGGAGGCCATAGTGACTGCCAGAGGCGGTATACAGTGTTTTGTCGGCCACATTTTGTCTTTCATTTTGAAAAATAATCCTAAAAGGGAAGAACGGGTGACAATGCTTGTTTTTGTAGTTTGCCAAAGTGGATGTTTGTGTTTGTTTATAGAAGAACTGTGTCCTAATGCTACCCTTATTCGTTAAGGAGAACATTTGGTTTCATGGAATGAAGTTAGTTATCAAAATGTGGCACGTTGAAAATTAATTTTTGTGAATCAGGTCGTACTTTTATTAGTGTATACTTCCTGTATTTCTCCTCACTTGCAAAAATAAGTTACTTGAATGTTTCTTCTCCGTAAGAAAGCTTATATACATTTCCCTTAAAAAAAAAATATATATAGTACACACACACACTCACTTACTCACTCTCTCTCTCTCTCTCTCTCTCTCTATATATATATATATATATATATATATATATATATATATATATATATATATATATATATATATATATATATATATATATATATATATATATATATATATATATATATATATATATATATATATATATATATATATATATATATATATATATATATATATATATATATATATATATATATATATATATATATATATATATATATATATATATATATATATATATATATATATATATATATATATATATATATCTTGATAAAATCACACGGGAAAATGGAAACAACGGAGTACCTTAGCTTTCGTCTTTATTCAAGACTGGACTGGACTGTATTCCTCCTTGGTATAGATATGTAGATGATGTTCTTTGTCTTTGGCCTAAAAACAGTGACCCTTTGGAATTTTTAGACAAGCTTAATAATATTGTCCCTAGTATCACATTCAAAATTGAAAGAGAAATAAGTGAATCCCTTCCATTTCTTGATATGCTTATCATGAGAAATGGCCAAAACTATAAATTTAAGGTATATAGAAAGCCTACACAGGTAGACAGTTTCATTCACTTTTTATCCAATCACCTTGAGTCTACCAAAATGTCAGTTTTTTCTGCTATGTTCCTACGATGTCTGCGTATTTGTGACTCTGAATTTATTGACGACGAATTTAAACACATTCGTTCTATTGCACAGAAACTTGGGTACCCTTCTGTGTTTGTTGATCGTTGCTTTAAAAGGGCTAAAAAATCCTTTCATTCCTCTGTAACCAGACAAGTTCCTACACTTAAGAATATTTTGACTCTGCCCTATCGTGATGAATTTGTCCCTTTAGTTCGGTCCCTCAAGCTTCTAAATATTAATGTTGTTTTCAAGTATGACTCAACCATTACCAATATGTTAATAAGGAATAGCCCAAGTTTGAATGTAAATGGAAGTGTTTATTGTATTCCATGTAGCCAATGTAATTGTAATTATGTAGGTCAGACAGGAAAAACACTGCAGCTCAGAATCAAACAACATAAGTATAATATCAGAACTGCATCTGAAAGCAGTGCCTTGTTCGTTCATGTTAGGAATAATAATCACCCCATTGCTTGGGAAAAAAGCTTAGAAGTATTCAAATCATCTTGTGTCACAGAAAGACTTCTGGTTGAAGCTAGTTTGATTAAGGAATTAAAATCAATAAACCTTAGTGATGGTCAGTTCAAAACTGATAATATGTTACATAAATTTATTTGTCAGTGGCCCAAGGTTAAAACTGCTTTG